ACAGTTTATCTTTACAGTATTTCTTTTAATAACAATGTGAATTAAAACAAGCAAAAATGAACTAAAACTAACAACTTTATACTTTTTGCCCTTTTTAAAAAAATGTAAGGAGTAGAAATTACAGATAACTGTGTGAAAATGTAAGGAGTAGAAGTAAAAAGCAGGCTGAAAAATAATTACTCCACTAAAGTATAAATAACCAAAAATTCTAATTAAGTAAAGTAACAAAGTGTTTGCACTTAGTTACTTGACACCTCTGATCCTCAACTCATACTTATAGCTTGTACAGAATGAGTGAGATCTTTGATCAAAACTATGACAATAACTATTGGAGTCAACTCTGTTTATTAGCAAAGTATCTCATAAATCACAGGATGTTATTTTTTAAACTCTCAGAAATGATTCATTGCATGTACATCTACAAATGATTACCTACCATTTGGAGTCAATCTCATTGAAGATGGCACCACAGCCAGCTGAAAACACAGAAACAGCTACCATCCTCTTTTCTTTGATCACTCTGCTCATTTTGTTCACCCTGTCTCCCACAAAGACGATCTTCCTCCAGGACAATGCCATAATGCAGATACGTCTTAAGGACCTGAGTCGCCTGAGAAGCCTCCATTACTTGTACCTCCAGAACAACAGCATCTCAGCCTTGGAGCCTGGGGCCTTCCTCGATCAGGGCCAGCTGCTGGAGCTGGCCCTCAATGGCAACCTCATCCACCTGGTGACCCCTGACATGTTTCGGGGTCTGGAGCACCTTCGTATCCTCTACCTCGCTGGCAACCAAATCACTCGCATCCAGGATCACACCTTCAGGGGACTGCAGGTTTGTCGTGTGAGCTAAGAAAAAAAAAGTGATGCAGATGGACAATATGATTCGAGAACTCCAACTAAACATAAAATGTATTTACACTATATAAATAAAGCAGAATGACATTTACAAACAAACAGTAAATTTAGGTTTTGACAGCATGTCATTCTGATCCTTATCACACTGTAACAGAGTTTGGAGCGAGTTATTCACCTGTCTGCATTTGACAGCTCTTTAATTTGTCCTTGTTTATCTTCTTTATGTCTTTATTGTATCTGCAGCGACTGCAGGAACTTCACCTGCAGGAGAACAGCATAGAGGTGCTCGCAGAGCATGCTCTGTCTGGCTTGTCGTCTCTGGCCCTGCTGGACCTAAGCAGGAATCACCTTCGCACCCTGGGAGCCTCATTCCTCAAACCACTCGTCAGCCTGCAGGTGCTTCGTATCACAGGTTGAGAAAATTGATATATCATGCTCTTATTTTTATTTTTTTTCAGAACAAAATTATCTTGTTCTTGTGGTCCTCTAAAACAGCCTGAGTCTTTGAATTCAAACTGCCTTGATAGTTTTTTTCAAGACTGTTCTCTGAAAATTGACACCACCTTAATACTGCACTGAGAAACTACTGATATTTACCCCCGTGGGTGAATTAACCCCAATGGATTCACTTGCGTTAAAGAAAATGAAGTGTTAATATTGTATTTTACACATTAAAAGGTAATAATGGTACTCAGAGATGCCCCTTTTAAAAGGTAAAATATTGCATTAAAGAGGCTTCTTTAAGAGAGAGGGAAGTACCCTCCAATTATCTTTAGTAACCCTTCTTCTCCTACCTTTTTTAAGTCAGACTAACTATTTCTGTAACTTTCTCCAACGTACAACCTGACATTCACACACATTTCTTACAGTAATTGGCCATCTGTGCACAAGTGACACAAGGTCTGCGACTGAATCACTCCTTGCTTCTTGCAGGGCTTGATCTTTCTTTCTCTATTCATGTGCCAGCTGCAGTTTCCTTGTACCAGAGTGAGTGGTATTCAGAAGGACCTCTTTGATTTCCAACATGGTCAGACAACATACAGTATTAGTTGAGGCCGAACATACTCTTGGTTCTTGATGTTCTGCAATGGGCTTGGCAATGTAGTCAATAAGACCATGTTCACTTGTAGATAAGGCTGTGGCACATTAAAAGAAACGTGTGTTTCAGTTAATAAAAATACTTTATTTACTTTATTTATATCCTAAAGGGAAATTAAATATAATATAATAAAATAAATAATAAATAATAATATAAATTTATCATGGCATAGAGAAAACATAGTCCAGCATCTAGTACATTATGCTGGATAACGWGACCATCTCCTAAACTTACACACACAAAAAATTCTAATAAAAAAGCTTATAATTAACAGTACTGCCGGGAAAGTCATTTTTCTTTTTTTATTTAACGGGTGTTTTATTTGTCAGACTGTCTTTAAGAATGCAACATTAATCTAAGCCAACACAACAAAAACTATACATATATATTACTCTCAGCTAATAATACAGATGATGTTTTGCTCATTATCTATCAAATTGCCCAAGTTATAGCCATCTTTGTGTTTGCAAAGTTGGAATAGATATGGCTATAAGCTGACTCTAAAAGTTATTTCATTGTTAACACACACTTATTAAAGAGTACAATTTTTATTAAAATCCACTGAGCAGTTAATTGTGCAAGTGTTGGCACAGAGGTCTAAGAAGTTGAGCCTGTGATTGGAAATGTCACCAGTTTAAATCTCCTGATTGTTACATCCAAATTTGGGTGAGAGAAATTAAGCGTCCACATCTGCTGCCACACTCAATTGCCCCACCCTGGGCCCTTGAGCAAAGCCCTTAAGCCCCACCATCTTCACCACCTGAACACCCTAGATGGCAGCCCCCTGCTTCACACACAGGCTGTGGTAGCCACTAAACTACTACACTTCAATGACAGGTGGGGGGTGGCTTGAAAGCATCTGGTTGCATCAGGAGGAGCATCTGCCAAAACTTCACGACACTTCACGTTATGGTGAACCCTGAAGAAGGGAGCAGCTGAAAGAACACTAAACAGGAGCAGTTAGTTCATGATATATTTTGCTAACAGATAAATGAACACAGGCACAAGCAATTACTTGATCTCCTGCTTTTCAAGTCAGCGAGTGATAATGAGGAATGAATCCACAATGAAGGCCAGGGGTTATATAAGAAGCCTTCCAACTATAATCCTATTGTTGTAGACCAAAGCATGACAGAAATTTAATTATGACTTCAGGATCTTATGTCAGCTTGTAAAAATGGGACATCATTTCTGTCTCCTGTAAAAGTTGTATTATTTACTTTAAAACTACTCCTGGTAAAACCCATGCTCACCATCTGCCCCCATTCCTTTGTTTTAGAGAACCCTTGGCGCTGTGATTGTGCTCTTGGTTGGCTGAGAACCTGGATCAGCGAAGACGGACAGCGTCTGCTGAGTTCGGCAGAACAGCGCCGGCTGATGTGTGCAGARCCCCCCCGCCTCTCCCACCTCAGCCTGGTGGACGTGCCCCCYAACAGTCTGGTGTGCATCCCTCCTGTGGTGCAACTCGAGCCCAGTCACCTGACTGTCCGACTCGGAGAAAGCCTCCGAGTCTCCTGCCAGGCCTCGGGATACCCTCAGCCCCAGGTGACTTGGAAGAAATCCTCCCATGGTAAGCCCCAGTTATCACCTCGAGGTCTGTTCCAAGAGCTGGGCCCCAATGGGGAGCTGTTCAGACCTGCGGCAGGGGGAGTGGTGACAGCTCTGCCCAGCAGTCGAGAGATCAAGGTGGGAGGTGCAGGAGGAATCCATGGCCTTGTGCGTGGGACTGAGGAAGGCGGTGAGAGGGACAGCTTCGATCCCGACATGGGCAGTGGCATGCTGTTCCTCAGTAATGTGACTGTAGCACATGCTGGGCGCTACGAATGTGAGGCCTGGAACCCAGGTGGTGTGGCTAGGGTTACGTTTCAYTTGGCCGTCAACATGTCGTCTTCTTCATATTCATCCCATTTCTGGCCTCGATTGAACACACACTCCTATGTTTCTTCTTCATCCAGCTCCTTCTATCAGCCAGAAGTCCTAGATATTAGCCAGGAGCCATTGTATGAGCAGGACAGCATGGACTTTAATGCCCTAGGGCCTGCCACCCAAACTGCTATTGCTATTGGAATCTCTTTGCTGGCACTCACTGCTGTCCTTCTYTTGATAATGATCTACACTCGTCACCAGCAGTATCAAAAAGAGGACAGCGGCTCCTACTGTACCAGCAAGGAAGAGAGCATACTCTATGTGAATGACTACTCTGACGGGCCCACCACCTTTGCACAGCTGGAGGAGTACCGTGACGACCACGGCCATGAAATGTACGTACTCAACAGAACCAAACCCGTCATGGGCTCCAATTCATCCAGGTGTCCCATGATAAGTGGGTTTGTCCAACAGAAGGGCATGAAGGAAGCGCTTCTGGAGCATGAAATGGTTCAGACACTGACAAGATCAGGGGGAATGGGGCTTCGCAGAAACCCAGCAGAAGGTGGAGAGGGTCCCCTGACTACAGATCCAGAGGAGCTCTTTCTGAGTCAGAGTCTCCTGTTTGGATCACAAGTTGCCTATGAGATCCACTGCTGAAGTATCTAGCCCGTGCTCTCATGTGAAACAAAAAAGGTTGATGGATTTAWATCAAGACCCTAGAAATGATCTTGCAGCAATTATTTCATGCACCAGATTATTATCTGGCTTTCAACAGAGGAGGGGGAGTCAGTTCGTGATTGTTGGGGGAGATGCAGCCTCCCAGAGATCCTCTTCTAACTGATTATGTGACATTAAAATGGGTCAGGGGAATGGACAGTGGTAATTATGGAGAAAAGAACTAATGAACCATACTTTTCAGTTTCCAAATAAACCCTTTAAAGATAATTACAAGTGGCTGACCTCACCAGAACTGGTCTAAAAGTTCAACTAAATCCTTACAAAAGAGGTCTGCAAAACTGTGCAGTGTGTGGTTGTAACGTACGTGTAAAATGAATCAATTTTTCTACAAAATGTCTAAGTTTTGTTTTGTGTGTTTGGTCTGTATCCTCTGTAAATGAARGGCAGTTAATTTTCTACGTGAAGTAGAGCAGATTAATGAACCTTGTTCCAGATCCCAGAAGAATTACAGCAATTGTCTTATTGAAACTGCATCATCATCTGCATACATGTGAGTGGGTGGGTTGGTTCAGTCTGGACGTGGCACATTTTTTAATGTTCAGTAGCAATGACATTTTAAATTTTCGTTAACACGTCCAGTTTCTATGTTACAGTATTTTGGAACAAGGACGTGTTTAGTGTTGACAATTTAAAAAGGCTCTTAAAGGAATAGTCTGCTAAATTTTAGGTGATGCTCTGTCAACTGTTAACAGTTTGCCTGATCAGCAAGTTTAGTCAGTTGAAGGTTTACTCAAACCCAGACGAACTGATGTATCAGCAGAATTAGGACACCAACAATTATACACGCACACACACACACACACACACACACACACGCACGCACGCA